CGTAAGTGGGGGATACAAACAGACACCGGGAGAAACACAAACTGATGGACATGGGAAAGACAGGCTGACAGACACACACACACTAGATGGGAGTGACAGACGGACACGCAGGTGGGCGAGACAGATGGACACAGATCAACACAGGAAGTGGCCAGTGGATGCGCAGGTGTGAGAGAGAGACGGACACTGGGAGAGATAGGAGGACACGGGGGATACAAACAGACACCGGGAGAAACACAAACTGATGGACATGGGAAAGACAGGCTGACAGACACACACACACTAGATGGGAGTGACAGACGGACACGCAGGTGGGCGAGACAGATGGACACAGATCAACACAGGAAGTGGCCAGTGGATGCGCAGGTGTGAGAGAGAGACGGACACTGGGAGAGATAGGAGGACACAGATGGACACTGGGAGAGAGAGATGCAAGCAGATGGAAATGGGAAAGACAGGCAGACACACACACAAGTGGGAGCAACAGGCAGGTGGACATGGGGGGAAGATGAGCAGACACAGAAGGGAGAGACGGGCGGACATAGGGAGAGCCTGGCAGACACGTGGGAGACATAGGCTGACAGATGTGGAGGGGATAGACAGGTGGGCAGGGACACAGGTGAGAGAGACTAATGCAAACTAATGGATATGGGAAAGACAGGCAGACAGACAGACACACAGATGGGAGCGACAGGCGGGTGGATATTTGGGGGGAAAGATGAGCAGACACAGAGGCAGAAGGGAGAGACAAGCAGACATAGGGAGAGACAGGCGGACACGTAGGCGGACACACAGGTGAGACAGACTGCTACACAGTGATGCACATGGGGAAAGACAGGCAGACAGACACGCGCAGGGATTGGAGCAACAGGCAGGCGGACACATGGAGGAGAGATGCGCAGACACAGATGGATAAGGCGGGAGACGGACACCAAGATGGGAGGGACATGCAGATGGGAGAGATGGGTGGGCACACAGAGAGCCAGACAGACGCGGAGATGAGAGCGACCGATGGACACACATGCTTTTGGGAGAGACGGGTGGACACAGAGAGGTGCGGGTCTGTCCACAGCTGTGGGCTCCAGGCAGCGGCAGAACTGGATGCGGGAGCTGGGCGCTGGAAGCTGATGCCCGATGAGTTGGGCTTGTTTTACCGGGTGGTGAACGGGGCAGGGGGGCGAAGGAGCAAGGGGGAAAGCTGATTTGCCCCCTTTGGCATTTTGGTGTCCCGTTGGGGAGCAGCCTGGCGCTGGCTGGGTGGGGGT